ACTGGCCTCCATACAGTGAGCAGTTTATGTGGTCAGTTACTGGCAGACAGGTTCCTGGGCAGGGGCTTTGAACACGCTGAAAAAATTGATTGTCCTGACTATTAAGTTGGTCATATTTGGAGCCTGGAGTTAATATCTAGTAGGCTTCATTTAATTCAATTTCTTGGTTTACCGATTTTATTATGGAAATTGGTGATGTAGTTCCTGTAGAGAGAGGAATTACATTGGAGAGTGGAATATCGCAATCCTGAAGAGGTCAAATAATAGTCTGATATCTACTGGGAAAAAAAGAAAATACTAAAAAATAGGTTTTTATTGCCTCAGCTTGAATACTGCTTGTAAGGTTTACTGCTCCCAGTTGCAATCACATAAAAAAGAAAAGAAAAAGAAAAAATTAAAAATACACACAGGAAAAAATATAATTGTTGTCTGTATCAAAATGGAAGGTATCAAAATTTCAGTCTTGAATTCATGACTTTTGCAGTTGCTCCCCTTTGAGTTCCATATTGCTTCTGATAATAGTGGGAGGAGGCTAAGGGTTATTACTTTTCATGTTACTGAAGAGTAAAGATACATAGGACTTACAATTACATTGAACTAGCACCTCTTTCAGAATATATGACTGTTTAGACATGGGGAATTGTAATTTCCAACACTTAGAAATAAAGATATTTTCCTATTAAATGCTTTTATTTCAGGTGCATTTTTGAAGTAATATAACATTTTGTGTGTAATGTTATAGATCTTTTGACCAAGTAAAAGTTTATTTTAAAATGCTGAGTATATTATCTTGGGATAGGAGAATTGGAGAGAATCAAGTCAAAGGATATCATGGGAGAATGAGGGATAAGGGCTCCATCAAAAACATCATTGTAGGATGAGAGGAATGATTTGAAAACAAATATATCATTGTTTTTGTGTTCAAATGTTTGAAATATTCATGTTATTGTCGTGGTATGAAACTACTTTGGCAGGGTGGGGATGACTTAAAATGGTACTTAAAGTGGGTTGTCCAAACACTGCATATAATTAGGTCAGCAACATTGTTTTTAGTCCCCCATGGAACAATAACCATTATGGACCACCACCCCTGAAATACATGCCCAGTCCTGAAGTGTAGAGTATTATGTGTTATTATTAATATTTCAGCAGCATTTGATATTGTATGCTAGTTGTAACTGTAAAGCAATGACTTATTGAACTGAAATCCAACAATACCTCTCTGTGTAATTGGAAAGTTGTGTACTACTAATCCTTATAATCAAATAATAATAAATTCAAATAATATTGAAGCAACCAGATGCTGTATTATGGATTGGCCACACAGAGGAGGCACGGCACACTTTCCACTCTTGCACTGAATCAAGCTGGCAGTCACGAAAATATGATACCTACAAGCAAGAAAAATGAGAAAAATATGTGTAGAAAATCTCAGCATTCCATGAGTGGGTCTACAAGCATAACAATTAACCCTGCATGAAGTATAGTACTGTGTGCACATATGCCTTGTGCTGCTGCCAACTTCACCCATATAGATTTAGTAGTTTTCACAGTACTACAACATAACAAACATTTTTAACACTAGACTTAGGCCCAGTCACTAAAGGGTTAGGTGGAAGCTCTCAGGGTTTTGTTTATTTATGTGTGGAGGCTTGGTTTTTTGTGAGGGTAAGGAAATAAGCTGATGTTATATTTTAGATAGAGTATTGGTTACACACGTGACCTTTGAAGATGTTGATTGTTAGAAGGGTGGAGGTTGCTCAAAATTACTTTCAGGAGGAAATTTTTCTTTGAGCAGATTTGTCTGATCACAGTAGAGCTGCATGTGGCAAAATGGATCCTAAAATCTATGAACACAAGGTTATTTAACAGTGCTCACACACAATATTGTTCACTTATATATGTTTGTAATGACCCAAGAAAGAAATATAAGTAACTTTTTCAGGATTTTCTTTTCTGATAAGAATGGCAGATCAATTCTATATCCACTTCCAAGTTTTATATGTTCAATTTGTTTTATGTGAGATGAAATAATCTATGGTTTTATTCTTTTCTTTGCATTAACTCTTTAGGTTCACGTCTGATTGTTATTTATTTTTTGCAAGAATACACAGGAAGCAAAGGAATAAATAACATTTATCTCAGTACCTTGAAGTTAATGATAACCTTTCTCCATTTACACATAAAATATCAAGGGTTTTAGTGATTTAATCATTTGAATCTATCCAAACAAGAGCGCTCCCATTTTCTGAACAGTTTTGACCATAAAAAAATGTCAAAAGTTGCCTCCCTTTGCTGTTAAGAGCACATCATGGCAGTGTCATTAAAAAACAGCCCTTTGAAGTTCTCCTGACCTTTTTATGTTCTAAGTGTAAATTTAAATCTTAACTTTATCAGCTCTGGAACTATTCAACATTAGTTGATTTTGAGCATATAATGTCAATTATGCTTCAAGGCCTAGACTGTAATTATATCTGAAAGCAAAGGAAAATTGGATAATTTCCCCTAGGGTGTCACATTAAAAACATAATGGATGTTATTTTAAAAATACGCTGTACAGTGCATCATAGTAGGAGAGTGAAGCTAATGTTGTGGCATTGGAACTAATGCCGTCTACAAAGTGTACAAATCTCCCGGGAACACTTGCAAGTGACCAAAATTAGAAGATTAAACATGTGTTGAGAAAAAGTCTGGAGGGAATGTTTTTCAGTGTTGCTAATGTCAGTATATGGAAACCGAATATCGTTTTGAATTATTCAAACTTTTATCTGGTCTGTGTAGTGCAACACATCCCTAAAGCATTGAGGAATTGTAAGAAAATGTTGAATGTCAGTCCTGTGGCAGCTGTGCCCTTGACCAACCATGGCTGGGGAATTTCATGCTTTTCATCTGTTGGAGTCCAGTATTTGAGGATCATGAATAGGCATTCATGCTGTTTCAGAGCAGATCACCACATCTCCAGACTTGGAACATGTGTGAATGTGAAATATAGAGAAAGACTATGTTCTCTTTTATCTTCAGAGTGTTGGAATTTTTTGGACAAAAATTTAAAACTAAGGTCTGATTAATGATAACTCCATTAAAGATGTAAGGAATGTGTGGTATGTATGGTATGCTTGCAATATGACCACTTGATGAGGAAGATAAGCAGCTTGTTTAAGAGAACCTAGCTATAAAAACGCTTGTAGTGAGTGGAAATGAATTAAGTTATGTTTTTCTTAAATGAATGAGTTCACAGCTGCGTTTCATAAGAAGAAAATGGCAACTTTTAAGGATAATAGAAATACTCCCCATATCAAAATACTTTTCTTCGTCATTAGATACTTCCGAGCTATTTGTCATTATCTGATAGTCGATGTTTTGGAAATAATTTTGATATGAGCTAATGAAGCGAGTTCAAAGCTTCAATAGAACAATACAGTTTGATAACCGTCAGTGTCAGCATGGACATATCAGTTGAATCTGAATGAAATATATGCTAGGTTACCACTCTTTTGAAGAGATGACCTTCTGAACCTTATGAAGAACAGCTGTCCATGTTTCCCTATTAATTGAAATGCCAAATCTAAAGTTCACTGTACTGAAAAGCTATATTTTTGTTCTAATGTCATATGTGCTCCTTGGGGGTTCCAACATCAAGTACCCAGTGACCTGTGCTTGTGTAAGAAGCAACACAAATGAAGATAACCGACTCCATGTTTTTTGTAAGAAGTGACTAAAAATGAAGATCAAGCGCTCCATGGTTGTTGTCCGGAGTGACTAAAATGAATATAATGGACCCCATGCTTGTTGTAAGAAGTGACTAAACTCAAGATCAAACACCTCATTCTGGTAATCAGGAGTGAAGATAACAGACTTCATGTTTTTTGTAAGAAGTGACTAAAATGAAGATCAAGCTCTCCATGGTTGTTGTCAGAAGTGACTAAAAGGAAGATCAAGCTCTCCATGGTTGTTGTCAGAAGTGACTAAAAGGAAGATCAAGCTCTCCATGGTTGTTGTCAGAAGTGACTAAAAGGAAGATCAAGCTCTCCGTGGTTGTTGTAAGAAGTAACTAAAAGGAAGATCAAGCTCTCCGTGGTTGTTGTCAGAAGTGACTAAAAGGAAGATCAAGCTCTCCATGGTTGTTGTCAGAAGTGACTAAAAGGAAGATCAAGCTCTCCATGGTTGTTGTCAGAAGTGACTAAAATGAAGATCAAGCTCTCCATGGTTGTTGTCAGAAGTGACTAAAATGAAGATCAAGCTCTCCATGGTTGTTGTCAGAAGTGACTAAAATGAAGATCAAGCTCTCCATGGTTGTTGTCAGAAGTGACTAAAAGGAAGATCAAGCTCTCCGTGGTTGTTGTCAGAAGTGACTAAAAGGAAGATCAAGCTCTCCGTGGTTGTTGTCAGAAGTGACTAAAAGGAAGATCAAGCACCCCATTCTAGTTATCAGGAGTGAAGATAACGAAACCCATGCTTGTTGTAAGAAGTGACTAAAATGAAGATCAAGCACCCCATTTTGGTTGATAGTTATGAAGATAATGGAACCTCTGCTTGTTGTAAGAAGTAACTAAAATGAAGATCAAGACACCATGCGGGTAGTAAGTCACCCAAAATGAAGATCATGAACCCATGCTTGTAAGAAATAACTGAAATAAAGATCAAGGATCCTACTGTTGTGCTATGATTAGACGATGGACCATGTGCTTGTAAAAGTGACTTAAATGGAAATGAAGACTTCATGGACAACATAGCTGAATTTGAACAGATTACTAAACCATTTGTTACTTGGTTACATCTTGACTTATGGAAATGTTCCAGATTATGAAATTAAAACCCAAATTTTAGGAGCCATTCTTCCTTTTGTTTTGTATGGTATTGGGGCTGACAAACCAGAATATAACTGAAGCATTGTCCCTAGCAGCATTAAACTCAGCTCATGCATTATCTCAGGGTTTCATACCTAATCAGCCAGAGAACTGTTGTCATACCAGTGAGTAACAGTGAAATACTGATTTCAGGAGCTGCCTCTCGATGTCCTCAAACAGAAATGTCTGGAGCACATGGAAGTGATGTCCAAGAAACGCATCAGACGGATTCTGCATGGTAAGTTGCACACACTACTTTCTTTCCAACATTTGTCTCAAATATAGATAGTCTAAAGGTCTGTGAATGTATCTAGACTAAGATGTAATGCCATGTTTGATATAGCTGCATAAAAGATTTCAGCTATACAACCTAACTTTCCTGTGTTCATTTTAGTCTGGACCAGGCAACCCAATGACTGTAACCACATTGTACATTGGCTGAAGTGTGCCAAATTGAAACTGATCCTTCTTGAGGATGGTCTGTCAGCAAGTACAGTCCATGCTCAACCACATCACTGACTAAGTCACTGACAACAAATAGGAGACATCAGCTACTAAGTCTAGCCCTGAATACTCAAGAGGTACTGTGAGAAGACATGTCTGACATGAACCAGATGTGGCTTTATAGTCTTTAGCTCACAAGTCATCTTTTGTTCTGTGTGGACTCCAATACTGTACTGTTATAGTTGCACGGTAGCCATATATCTTGATATCAGAGGCTTCTTCTTGAAGTTGCTATACATCTTCTTTTTGATGTCATTGGATAAACTTAATTATACAGCAAGTACGATTTATGTTCTCCTGTCTGCCTCATGTCCTTCACATAATCCTCTGTTTAGGTTTAAAATCCTTTAAAGCATAAAACATGTGTCACAGGGTGAAAATACATCTTTTGCAATGATGTGGGTTCTGTTTGAGCCTTTATATCCCTTGCACACACAAAAGTAAATTACGTCTGGAAAGTGTTCAGTACCTATATGGTCATGATTAAACATTTGTGAAAATTTAGACATCACAGTGTTTCAAAACAAACACATGTGTTTCAATTTCAACAGGATCAGTAAATGTTACTATTGTGACACTAGATTTTCTGGTCTCTTGATCAGTTCATTGCCTGGTTGTCGTGGCATGGCAGGCAGCAATATTAGTGTGTGGCATCAGGTAACAGTCGGTTGTCTGCAAATTGTGTTTGTGGTGTATGCTAGACATGCCTACACTCTTTCAAACACCAGGTATCATCTTTGTGTTTTCAGTAATCCATTCATATATTTTGCCATCTATGCCCATTGGATTCTATTGGGGCGGATGATCAAGACATGCTATATTCTTGTTGCCATTTCATATTATATTGAATTAAATCTTTCCTCAAATTTCCTCAGTTCTTAAGCCATAACCATTTTTTCATATGGCATAATGTTTTCATTGTTTCATACCGCTTACTACAGCTACCCATGAAGATAGAGTTGGTCTTCAGTAGCCCATGCTTATCGTAAGAGGCAACTAACGAGAGAGGGTTGTCAGGCTCGCTGACTTGGTTGACACATGTCATTGTATCCCAGTTACATAGATCGATGCTCATGCTGTTGATCATCAGATTGTCTGGTGCAGATTCGATTATTTACAGACCGCCACCATATATCTAGAATACTGCTCAGTACGGCGTTAAACAACAACCAACCAACTTACTACAGCTGTGGGATAATGAAATGGTTTAGCTTTACTATTCTTCATGCGAAAAAACTCAGATCACCAAAATGGGTGTTGTATTGAAGCCCATTGCTTTTGTCCCTAGTCCACTGCTTAGTCCACACTAACTTGTCTCAGATTGAATAGATATAGGTTTCTTTAGAGAGAAAAACTCAGGACAAATAAAGAACTTTGTTAGATCTGACAAAATCACATTCAGACAATCCAGGTGTTTTAAAGCATGGTCAAATGTAATGGGGAAAATCAATTGTTTCATGGTATTACAACACTATGAATTATTATGTTTGTGAGCACTGATTAGAAGGGTCAGAATAACACAATGTGTATCATGTGGTTGATATGTTATGATTGAGAATCAAACGGGGGCTTCGGCGTGACAAGTGAATGCTTTCACTACTAGGTTACCCCATCGCCCTACAGAAAGGATTATAATGATACAATGTAATCTCTCTAGTAGGAATAGTCTAGTGACAGACACCTAGTCATTCACTCATCAACCTGAAGACCTTGGTGAGACCACTGTACACAGCAATCAGCGCTGCAATAAACTTGTAAACTCCAACACTAACCAATGGCAGTCATAGAGACAAGATGTCTTTGTGCTGATGGGCCTTGTTTCACAAAGAGATCTTAGTGGTATGACTATCATCCTGAAGCTAAAATCGTATGTGGAATTGGTGGTGGAAATCACAATATGTGTATTTTACCTGAAGCCCATACTTGTTGTTGCCCACTGTGATGTTTCTGGAATATTGCTCAAGTGGCATTGAAACCATACCGAGACAATCACTTAAACTAACACAAGATACTACAGTAGCCTCAAGTATCAAATTTTGATGTAATATCATTTCATAAATACATATCATATTGTGATTGTATTACCATGATGTGATGTGATATATCCTGACCCGTGTTTTGTGATAAGAATCATATCACGCACCCAGGAACCATCAGGTATCTTTACTAATTAAGGATTGTCAACCTGTAATGTGTTCCAGGCTGTTATAAACTTCGGTAAGAACTGTCGTATCTATGACACTTTATGCCTTAAGGTTAATGAAACTTTGAAACAGAGTCCGATTTAAGTCATCTATCAATGTGATATAATAGACAATACAGTAAGTATAAAATGATTTACAGTTGTGCTAGTGTCTTAAAAGAGGACTTTTTCAGTTGTGTGTCATGGAAAAAAAGAATTAACTTTTGCTTTATTGCATTGATGTCCATTCTAGCCTGGGAGTCTGGTGAAAAGAGGAAGATGTTGTTTGATGTCTGAGGATGTATGCATCAAAGATGAATAGAGGAGAAAAGAAGAATTTGAAAATGTTTAACCAGCCAAAGGTGTATTGATTTAAAGCCAAACTGGTCAGACTGCTGACCTCGGTGTATGTATGTCATTAAAACTCGCTTGAAAGAAAAGGCAAGAGTGTTTGAACTATGAGGGAAACACAATGGCTTTGAACGCATCTGCTAAAATCAATGGGGAGTATGTGAGCAATATTTTGCCCAGACCATACTGACCATACTGAGCTGACTATGGTGAAAAAATGGTCCTAGAGTCATGATCTTTTTCTTTAGAAAAATCTTTTGATATTGATGTGATGTGTTGATATATTTCTGAACAAGTGTGTTTTGGTACTTTATAGGAAGAGGGAAAGTATCAGCACAAGCAGTAAAATGTTATATTGTGCATTTTTCAGTGTTCTTATCTTGAAAGTTTTTAAGTCAGGTCACATTCATAATTCTTGATAATGTTGAAACACATGCTTTGTCTATTATCAAAGCCACAAAGATATCTCCACATCAATACATTGAGAGTTACCTATATAAAGAGGGTGATTGATATATTCTGAGCCTCACATGTAAAGACTTCCCCAGAAGACATGAAAATAAGTTTTTCAAAATAACCACCTTCCGTGTTGATACATTTTTGCCAACACTGTCAGAGGGATTATTTCAGTCATGTCTTTGTTGTCCAAGAAGTGACTGTGACATCATTGTTCAAGTCAAACTTGGTTTAAGCTAGTGTTTTCTTCATGTTTGGGAACAGTTTGACATCTGACACAGTTATATCAGCGCCATAAGGTGGCTGCTGAAAGAGTTCCAAGCCACACTCATGGATTGCAGCCATGGCAAGGACTGTTTCTGCACTTCTTTTGTCTGCTTACAACATCTCCCTGTGTTAATATCATTCTGTAATTGCCTCAACAGTGCGACAAAATGTGCTCCATTTATTGTCTGACCATCAGCTGACTCAAACTAGGATAATCGAGCTAAACCATTTCACTACCCCACAGCTGAGTGAATGACTAGGTGACCAGGCTATTCCTGCTAGAGAGAATACATATGCTATTTTTGCAAACAGGTAATATCTGTATAGATATAAATCCATACCAATCATAGCATGTCAACCACATGATACACAGTGTATTATTTTGACACTTTTAATCAGTGCTCACAAACATAATAATTCATACAGTGTTGCAATACCATGAAATAAATGATTTTCCTGTTATATTTAAGCATGCTTTAAAATACCTGGATTTTCTGAATACGATTTTGTCAGATCAAACAAAGTTCTATTTTTGTCAACCATTTTTCAAAAGTCATCTCAATTCATTCAGTTATTGCCATAAGCTTTAGAATGGGGACTCAAAGAAAGGGCTTCAAATACAGTACCCATATTGGTGATGTGAGGTTTTTCAGCTAAACCATTTCACTATGCCACAGCTGTAGTAAGTGGTATGAAACAGTGAAAGAAAACATTATGCCATATGGGAAATGGTTATGCTTTAGGAAGCGCATAGTGATAGTGTCCACAAACATTTTAATGAACTGAACACACTGTTTCAAGTTGGTAGGTTAAGCAGGGCATTTTTGTGACTTTTGGAAAAAGGAGAAACTTGGGGAGCATGCAGTGGTCAAGAACATCTAGAAAAATGCTTTAACCACAAAAGCCATCCGTCAAGTTTTGAAAACCAGGAAAGGATGGCCATCGTATGCCACTGTAAAGATATAGGCAGCAGATAAAAAAATCCTTGAAGATGGCCCTTGTCCTGGAAGGCTTGTCATGTCAGCAACATCAATAATGATCTAGAGAATCTATGATATGGTGATGAGTGGCGATTGCCTGAGAGTCACATTGTTAGTTTAGGAGTCAGTGAAAGCTCCTTGTGTTCTGACATTTGATAAAAAATGTAGCAGGCACACTATGTCTCATGACAATCAAGCTCTCTCTGAAACTTATACAGAAAGGGTCATAATGATACAGGGTGTATCAGGTTGATGATACAGATATTACTTGTTTGCAAAAACAAAACATATGTATTCTCACCAGTAGGAATAGTCTAGTGGCAGTCAGCTGGTCATTCACTCACTGTACACAGAAGTCTTAGCACTGGCAAATTATCAAATTTTGATGTAATATCATTTTATAAATATATACACCTTTATGACATCATGTAATGTCCAAATCAAAATATGTCACTTTTACTAACTCACTCTTTCATCATGGAATTTCATGATAAGTGC